TAAAGATTGAAACGTTGGCACGATAAAGAAAATGTTTTTCTGAAACCTACATCACACCAGACCGCATCTCACGATTTCTAAATAAATATCGATTAACGGTCGATTAATGGTTGTACTTTGATTTTATTGAAGTTATCATCGTATGAATTTCGAAATTATTGTTTTCCGCCAGTTTGCCTTCGGCCCACATGTTCGCCCAGAAAGAATAAAATGGCAAATTATCACCCTGAATAAATTCGCATTAACCCGTTTCTTTCCAGCATTGAAACCAACCAAAAAGTATAAAACACGACAGACCCAACAAAAACATATAAATCGTGCATAATGAAGCATAGAGTTTTTTAAGCGTAAAATATGTGAAATAATTTTTTTATAGAGCTATAATTAATAATAAATTAAAAGGAATATAACTTCGCGCAATAAAGCTCGTTCTTAGATCACCTCATCATCAAGAGATAATACAACAGTAAACAACAGTATTGAATTAGAAGGCATCGAGTGATTGCACTCCTAAATGATTGATTGATTTGTATGCCCACCCTGACATCGTAGGCCACTGTCTATTTAGAGGACTTACTGGAAAAAAGATTGGATGAAAAGATGTCAAGTCAGGATTTAGAGTATGATTGGAGATTTGTATGAAATTATTTCCAGCTGGATATTGCAACAATTTTTATAAAGACGGAATTTAGATATTAATGGATATTTCGGTTGTAAAAAATAGTTCTAAGTATGTGATATATTTATTTAGAAATCGTGATATGCGGTCTGGTGTGATGTAGGTTTCAGAAAAACATTTTCTTTATCGTGCCAACGTTTCGATCTTTATTGAGATCTTCTTCAGGGCCTGGGATTTACAAACTCCCAACAATTATTGAATATATAAAAAAAATATATTTCGCATTGTATAAATTCACTTTTCCACATCCAAAATGTAATTGTTATATGTAAACAATGTCTGTAAATCCCAGGCCCTGAAGATGATCTCAATAAAGATCGAAACGTTGGCACGATAATGAAAATGTTTTTCTGAAACCTACATCACACCAGACCGCATCTCACGATTTCTAAATAAATATCGATTAATGGTCACTAATCACCACACGTATGTGATATATGTGATTTTAACGACTAGATTCTGTGAAGGTTGGAATATTCGTTAAAGACCATATTTCTATGTTGTACATAAGTATCATGTTCTCCATAGAATGTTTAGATAAATTCCCAGGTAGTCTCGAACCCGTAGGTTTAGTTCTGTCCTTTTAAATCCTGTATTTATGGAGCCCGAAATGACAGATGACTTATTCATTATGCGATCAAGAATGGAGGGTATATTTTGGGATATTTGTCGTTTTTAATTTTGATTCGCTTTTTTTTAACCAATGTTGACGGCTAAGATGGTACATACTGGCAGTAAAAGTAATGAAATAATGAATATATCACAACGGCAATGTCGTCGAAAAATGTGTTTGGATGAAAATAATAATGGATATATTGAACATAGTAGGGGGCCGAGTAGGTACCCTGAGGGACTTCCTGCTGTTGCGTTGTTCAAGTGTGAGATAATCCGACCCATACTCCAAAATACTGTCGGGTAGTACTAACGGATGAGGGTATATGGCCGTTGAGATTCTATGGCTAATCTACATGACAGACTAGAACGAAAGCCTGTCCTACATAAGAATATAACTTAGCACAAATGCCATTCAAATATAAATAATTAACTAAATGTAAGAAATGAATATTGATCGCAAAATTTCTTTATCTCGCAAATTAAATTATTAAAAATATTTTTTTCTTATATACCAGATAAAAGTAATGAATAAACACCTCTGGCGATGTATATACATCAAATGTTTGAACGTCAAATGAATTTGAATGTTCAAAGTTCTTCAGTAAACATTGTTTTATCCGTCTAATATCCCACTGAAATTTCAAATATAAGAATATTGAAATAATTACATATATAGGTAATTTTCTTTTTAAAAAAATACTAATTTATAAAGCAATACAGTAAAGCATGTTTGTTCATGTTATGTTGGGTAAAAAATCCTGAACCGCTTCATTTTCAGCCCATGTTCATCAAAAGTAATGCAGGATTCTGAAACGTAGCCACACCCCATTTTCTCAAAATCAAAAATAGCTAGAACAAAATTATAAAAAATAAACGCTCTACTTTTAAAGGAAATAATTAAAAATGCAATGAAATCTGTAATTTTTAATGATGGAAATACCAAACATCTTACCCAGTTGACAAATTTCGAATGGGATCACGGGTTTATCTTCTGATTTTATGAAACTAAATTTATTTCAAAAACATTAAGACAAAGATCAAGTAAGTGGGTTAAAAATACACGAACTAATGTTTGTTTCAAGTTTTACGGATGAAATCTGTAATTTTTGTGCAGGGAAATACAAACATCTTACCCAGCTATCAAATTTCAAATGTGATCACAGATTAATCTTTTGATTTTGTGAAAATAAATTTATTTCAAAAATAGTAAAACAAAGATCAAGAAGGTGGGTTAAAAATACATGAACTAAAGTTTGTTTCGAGTTTTGCGCAAGAAATCTGTAATTTTTGTGCAGGCAAATACAAACATTTTACCAGCTATCAAATTTAAAATGGGATCAAAGATTTATTTTTTGATTTTATGAACCTAAATTTATTTAAAACCATTAAAACAAACATCAAGAAGTTGAGTTAAAAATACATGCATTAATGTTGGTTTCAATTTTTATGCATGAATTGTATAATTTTTGAAAATAAGATGTCTGAAAATACAGACATCTTACCTAGCTATCAAATTTCAAATTGGATCACAGATTTATCTTTTGATTTTATGGAACTAAATTTATTTCAAAAACATTAAAACAAAGATCAAGAAGGTGGGTTAAAAATACATGAACAACAAAATGTCTCAAGTTTTATGCAAGAAATCTGTAATTTTTGTTCAGGGGAAATACAAACATCTCAGTTTTCAAATTTCAAATTGAATCACAGATTTATCTTTTGATTTTATGAAACTAAATTTATTTCAAAAACATTAAAACAAAGATCAAGGAAGTGGGTTAAAAATACATGAGCGTTGTTTCAAGTTTTACGCATGAAATCTGTAAGTTTTGTGCAGGGAAATAGAAACGTCTTACCCAGCTAACAAATTTC